CTGAGCAAATGGAAAAAAGATCGAGGCCAGAAATACTACCAGCACTGTTTAGATCTGTTGCTCTTGTGTCGGAATGTGGATAAACCTCTCGTGAAACTGTCCAAAGGAAATTCCTGTAGTATACATTGAATTCGCGAAACACATTCGGATTCATGCATGTGAACATTCTTCGTGCTTGGTATGTATTGAAAATAATTTCTGTTGATTTAAAAAGAATGAAAACGCTTGAACCGAATAAGTTAAATATTAATCACAGTTAAGAATTGGTAATTTAAATTCGAAATACAATTTTCTGGAATTCGGTTGCTAGCGTCATCTACCGCGACGCATTGCCGTCCCTCGTGTATCTTAACAAGTTGGCTGAATCGGCTTAACTAGTTCATTAGTTTATTAGAATCATTTTGCAGACAAAAAAAAAACATTTAACATTTATTCAAACATTTGTTTTTTTTCAGGCCGATGTTATAAATATTCATGTTTTAATTAATTATCATATGTCAATACAACATTTTTTTAGTTGGAAACTAGTCTGTAAAAATGCTAGATCCGCCCCTGCCAAGGCTTCCAATAGTGAGTAATCAATGTTCTGATCTTGTTCGTCCTGGATATCTTTCAAGGCTTTGAAAATTACATCAGCGTTGTTTGGAGAAATCTCATTAACGCTAGCAGATACAACCTGCTTGGCTTTACGTAAGTAGGGCMTCTTTGTTCTTTCTGCAGCTTTATCCCACGGTGTTATCATTCTTGTTCTAATTGGACTTATTTCTCTTGAAGAAAGAAAGGAGTTGAGCTTATCTTTGGACGTAAACCTTGATTCTCGARAAGCTTAGTCTGTTTGACTTATAGACAGATCAAAGGCTTGAGATAATGAAGAGGGAGTAAACAATGGAGATGTTGGAAATGCATTTTCTGGTGAAACAGGTTGTACTGCAGGATGGTCAGGTGTCTTGAACGAAACTGGAGATTCCTAAATTTAATTGATACTACTATTATTATATTATTATTGATATAGAAAAAGGAGATATTTGGCGTGTTACTCAGTGSCTTGCAGTATGACTGCACTAATATTTTGAATAAGACATAGTTAACAYACCTGCATAGACATATCCTTAAATTGTTTATCTAGATCATCTACAGGATCACCACTTGAGATCATTTTTTTCAATTTATCATGACACGCTCGACATACTCCTATTTGGACAGAGTAAGGTTAGAGGCAGCAAGGTCACTAATCTACCATTATTTCAAAATAATATTTGTTTTCAGAGTAATAATTCAATGAATAGTCGAAAAGTGTCCTTTTAGGGATGTGCTAGATGCCCTATGTCATGTGTGACATTATAGCGCGCACATTTCAAACGAATGTAGATTGTAATGTAAAATAGCAACTGACCAATTTGGGCTGCCTGTGGTAAGACTCAAGATTTGTGGCGCTAAGAATGTTGATTACTTAAAATCAATTGTATCATTTTATTTATTTAGTTTTCCTTTCCATCTATTGATAGTCATGTTAGACTAACATAGCATTAGTAACCTAAGCGCATATGGTCATGGTGGTGACGGTTTCTGTCATATTGAATATACGAGCACGACACAGTATAAGGTCTACTTCGCTTTGTGGAMCAGAGAAAGAGCATGACGTTAAGTGGCTAGAAATCTCCTTCTTACWTGTTATCAGGGGCACTATTTGTTCCTCATGTTTTCTGTCTCTCTTATCAGAGCCACAGGTTCCGCCAGCTATAGACTTAAACGAGCAACACACTTCCATACTATTTTAAACTCACTAATAGCCCATTTTGCTACAMAACTTTAAACTGATATGTGATATACTGAAATAAGACACCTAGTAAACAGAACACTCAAGTCTTGTATCAGCAGAGAGCCAGAGCGAGAACTTTTTGGATTTAAAAAATCCGAATATATAGTAAAAAATATGAAATATATTGAATATTATTTCGAAAATACGCACAAATTAACCCATATATCTGCCTGAATGTACTGAATGACTTGTTTCTTTAACTTGATAATTGGGATTCCTGTACCCAACCGTGTGTGCAATCAAAAACATCAAACCGGACAGGAAGTACGTTTTTGAAGACTACCTCAATACGACTGCAGTAAAGTCAAATTTAATACAACTTAAGTGATAAACATGTATGTTAAAGGTTAGTTTAGCATTATAGGACAATTATTTCGAATCATTTTAGTCATAAACTTGGGGTCTTGGGGTGTTTTGACCTGAAAGGTCACAAATATACAATTTCAACGATGTTTAGTGCGTTACAGTGTCGCACACAGATATTTGCACAAGGATCTCTTTACATCAATCGAAAGGCCTTTCTTTCGGTGATCTCTCGACAGAATTTCAATAACTTTTAGAGATGGAGCACACTTGTTACACGACTGTTTGTAAGGCATACTTTTACCGTTGAAAGTTATAGCTTTCGGGGGAAAAATATCAAAAACCACAGAGTTGCGTGATTGATCTGTAATTTCGTTACACAATAGTTTAGACATTGTTTGTCAAGGATTATGAGCTATTTTGGTTGTATAAACGAGTTTTCCTTAGACCGCTTTATTCTGGCCAAAAATCAGCCGTGAAATCAGCATTTTCCACCATGTTTACTAATTTGCATATATCTAAAATATAAAACGATATTTAGCTTAAGCAAGTATACCAGGATTCTTAGGACACATTACCCTACCAAATATCAAAGTATGAGCCAAATCGACTTTTCAAGGTTTGCCACCACTTGATCGATTTTCTCGGACATGTAAAAAATAGCACTTCACTGTATTGACTGTATTATAAAATAGTTTATGCTCAATTTCCTTTTTTCCTCTGCTTGACACTATTGTTGCTTTGGTCTTCACCCCATGATGCTGCTCTTTTTTTCTATTGGGGGTATTTTTTGACAGTTGATTTCTTAGGGGCTGCTTTTGAGGATGCTTTTTTGGTAGCTGATTCTNTTTTTTGCATTTCTTAGTTGACTGTTTGGGACTATTTTTTTTCTTGAGTTGATGCACTTCTAATACAGAGATTATGCTTTCAACTCTCTCCTTTGCATCATCAGTGAACACATTTTGCTCCATTAAGTATCGCAGTGGCTGCAAATGCTTTCGTGGAGCAAGAAACTTGTTGTTTAATGATGACAAATCTTCTTTTGTGATGTACTGTTTACCAAGTGTTGGCTCTTTTGGAGACAGGACCTTTAAAAGGTCTTCTGCACTTCTCTGAAGTCTTGCTTCCTTTCTTTTTTTAGTTTTKTGTTTGTTTTCTTTTGCTCTTCTCTTTTTTCTTCTCTCTTCAGCATTTTCTGAACATTTTGGGAAAAATCTTKTCCTCAACTGGTTGTGACAATAAGAGACATTATTTAATGCACTCTGTGTTTTTCTCATTATTTCATCCAGGACAGTGATATGATCTGTGTAAAAAGACAACTCATTGCTTCTGTAAGCAGGGACCTCATGGGACTGGTTAAACAACATTGACGATCTTTCTCTAAGTTCTGTGATCTTAACATTCACTTTGTTAATAAATTTATCTAAATACTCCTTGGTATTCTCAGCAGACTTCACATCACGAATAGTTGGCTTGGTTGGATATGTCTGATATTTTCTTGTGTTGATTGCATGTCCATCTTTACTATCTTGGTTGATAATTATATTATCAAAAAACTTTTGTATTTGTTCAATCTCTTGTAACACTTTCCATCGCATTTGGCGTTGGGCTATGACATAACTTTTGAATTGCACTGGTGATAAGAACTCGTWTATGGAGTTATACATCTGAATGAGCAGTTCATTAAAATATTTTAGCTTTTCAGTATGTGGATTGGGGATCACCATATTTCTTACAGTCGTTGGCACTAGAATATAAAAAGCCATAGAAAACCAATCAGTGAGTTAAAAAGGAAGAATTTGAAATGAATTTTCAGGTTAGTGAACTTACTTTGATGAACATTTTGTTTTGTTGGCACATTGGGTGTTTCTGAGCCACAAATGACTTGACCTTTCGTTGTTGCTACTGCACTTCTCAGTCTTCGGACATGGTTGGGCTTTGAACTCATCTCTACATCTCTGGCAAGCTGAGTTAGCAGCTCATCAGACATTCCAACAATTTCATCCACATCGTCAWATCSACAGTCGATAAATTTCTGCAGATAAGTCTCGAGTTYATTCTGTTTTAGCCAGTCTTCTAGACACTGCAAGTCAGCCATTTGTCCAGCCATTTTGAATAACGTAGCCTGGCCTGCTATTTTAACACAGGKAGCCCAACCAAAGACTAAGACCCAGGCCCCGGCTAAAAATCAAGCTTTGGTAGAAAATAACATTTATTTAAGCTTTTTTCAGTCTAAAAATGAAAGATTCTTCAACTAAAAGCAAAGCTGGTCGTCCAAGACTATGTGGACCTCTTGAAACAGGAGAGAATTCACATAACAGTGCAAGGAGTGGTGTGAGAAAGTTTTCTAAAGTTTCTCCTAATGTATTGGCATCTCTTCAACGTTGCACTATAAGAGACAATTTTGCTTGTCTAGAGGATTGTATTTGCAAATCAAAAAATGATTTACTTGTCCAAAATCTCCGTGGTTTGCAGGCTGTTCTTGATGTTCTTCAATGTGAAACTGATTCTGAGAACCAAGTACAGTCGTTCATGCCATTTGAAGATGCCTTTGAGCTCTTTTTGGGGTTTCAGGAAGGAAAGTCACTTGAAACTGCTACAAGTAGTGACCGTAAAGCTTTCAAAGAAATTTTATGTCACCCTGAACATGGATTATGTGTTTATATTGTTCATGTTGACAATACAAACGAGTCAGCTTTAGTTGTTCTTCGACCAGATGATGTTGATATGGCCTGCTTCATCGAAGAGCTTTTACAAATAGGTGCAGTAACTGGAAATGTCTCACGTGAGAGAGTAACGTTAAACAACGAAACCGTTCATGCTCTAATAAATTCTATGGATTCTGAATGGGATAGAAAGGTAGCTAGAGTGCTTATAGGAGCAAACCGTTCGAATAAAGAGCTAAAGCAGCTTGGTGTTAGTATTGAAAACATAAATAAATCAACTGAAGAGGTAATTTCTATTGCAAGTGAAATTCAAAATTCCCAGATGGCTGCCGGAGATATTCTCATGCTTCATTACAGAGACAAAAAAGAGAAAATAGAAAAAAAGATTGAAGAAAACAAAGCCAGGTTAGAGAAAAAGGAAAGTGAATGGTCTCATGTGCAACTGATGGACTTGCAAGATTCCATAGATGTTTTACAGGAACAAATTGAAGATATAGACCACTTACTACAGCAGTCAACTCCTACAGATCAAAAGAGATTTCAAAGAATGCGAAAGCGCAAAGCAGAGTCGTTGATAGAAGAACATCGTTTGAAAAAACGAAAATTAGGAAATCAGGGAAGGCCGGAAGCTATCGATGAAGAGGCCGAAGAGTTCATACTTAAAGCGATCGAAGATAAAGCCACATATCACGG